GGTTAGCTGAGTCTCTTTGTGTAAACTCAGCTCACATACCGTGCTCCCAAGTTGTTCTTTGTTATAAATTAAATGTATTATTATGTCCTATGGATATATGGTCATCCAATCAATGGATTGGCTTGCTGTGTTACCCTGAAGTTTCCCACCACATCTGGTTAGAAGACCCCACAGAGCCTGTTGGAATAACACATGAAATACTGACTCAGATAAAGAAGCCAACGGATCAGAAGCTACCTCTGGTCATTATTTTTCACAGCTCCATTACACTCTGAGGGCATTCTTAATGATCCCAGGTCTGAGGGATGAAATATATGACTATCACTTTCACATTACAGTCCAATGCGTCCAGTCCTCACCACGGGCAGCGATGATCTCCATGTCTGAGGGGAAACTCTTAATTAAAGGAAAACTTACATCAGAGAGGAGAGATCCAAAAGAATGAGCTAACTACTTTACTAACTGCTGTTTCTCAGGTCTCGTCTCGCTCAGTTTCAGTACGACTGTGAACCGTCTGAAACATCTGCCAACGGCTGCAGCCGCAAAGACCATGGAGCCTGTCTCCTCGCCTACACAGGGCTCATAGGTATGTGCACACCTGACAAGTAACACAGACAGGAGAGAACAATGGAGGAAGGGAAAATGAAATAAAGGAGCATGTGGATCAGAAAATATATATGAGCAGAAACAAAGTGTGAAAAATAGCCACAGGCTGGATTCATAAACTCAGAACTGGTAAAGACAGTTCAATCAGGAGAGACAATTGATTAAAGACAATTATTTATTACAGTGAAATATGGAAATGTTTCTTGACAGAAATCATTTTGGCGCTTGGACTCTATGGGGTGGGCGATATGTGGAATGACAATTCTTAGCAACGGCAGAATAGATCCCCCCCATGGAGTCCAGACACTGGTGGTGGTGAAGTTGATGACTTGATGAGACCAGATGGGATAAGAAATGATGGATAAGGATTCTGCGAGATGGCGGTGTTGGGGAGGTGGAGGGGCGCACGAAACTTCAACATGAAGGGACTAAGGGAGAGAAAGAATCATATTTAAAAGGGGAGCAGAACGATGATAGGTTGAAAATAAGGGTGGAACACCATGCCATTGGTTAGTGAGTACCGCTGACGAGACAGCTGATTAACCAATGACAGCCCCCAGAAAATGACAGTTATATAGTCTTCCTTACTGAACATACGCTAGAGCTTCATATAATATCTATAAAGTACAAGACAAAAGTTCAAGATTAAGAAAAACAATCTGTCATTAGAGACAGAAGTTTTTGATTAAAGTCAGTAAAGAGGAATCACAGCTCCATGGGGGACAGAGGACCTCTAATGAAGCCTCAGCACAAACACACTTTTATTTATTAAAGCGCTTCAAATCCAGCATCCAGCAAGAACATTATCATCCAATGCTGGCCTAACCACCATCATCCTGTGTTACATGAGCCCAGCATACAGGCGGTGCATCGTCCATTAGTGTTTCAGGAAGCAGTACAGTGTAACCTGCCCGAGCTGAATGAATCTTTAATGATGATTGAGGCCTGCTGCGGTTCCTCTGCAGGAAGTACAATGACTCCAAACTACGTTGACAACTCCACGTCCAGCGTGGCTCCGTGGTGCACCTGCTCCTCCAGCGGGAGCCGCAAAGACGAGTGTGAAACGTTCCTGGGACACTTTACCAACAACATCTGTCTCCGTGAGTAACATCTGTCACCATGAGTAACACCTGTCCCATAATTAACACCTGTCCCAGTGAGTAACACCTGTCCCTGTGAGTAACACCTGTCCCTGTGAGTAACACCTGTCCCATGAGTAACACCTGTCCCAGTGAGTAACACCTGTCCCTGTGAGTAACGCCTGTCCCTGTGAGTAACACCTGTCCCATGAGTAACACCTGTCCCAGTGAGTAACACCTGTCCCTGTGAGTAACACCTGTCCCTATGAGTAACACCTGTCCCTGTGAGTAACACCTGTCCCATGAGTAACACCTGTCCCTGTGAGTAACATCTGTCCCTGTGAGTAACATCTGTCCCTGTGAGAAACACCTGTCCCTTTGAGTAACACCTGTCCCTGTGAGTAACACCTGTCCCTGTGAGTAACATCTGTCCCTTTGAGTAACACCTGTCCCTTTGAGTAACACCTGTCCCTGTGAGTAACACCTGTCCCTTTAGGTAACACCTGTCCCATGAGTAACACCTGTCCCATGAGTAACACCTGTCCCTTTGAGTAACACCTGTCCCTGTGAGTAACATCTGTCCCTGTGAGTAACATCTGTCCCTGTGAGAAACACCTGTCCCTTTGAGTAACACCTGTCCCTGTGAGTAACACCTGTCCCTGTGAGTAACATCTGTCCTTTGAGTAACACCTGTCCCTTTGAGTAACACCTGTCCCTGTGAGTAACACCTGTCCCTTTAGGTAACACCTGTCCCATGAGTAACACCTGTCCCATGAGTAACACCTGTCCCTTTGAGTAACACCTGTCCCTGTGAG